CCAATATATGGGGGGACCTTCTCCACTGACTGCCAATATATGGGGGGACCTTCTCCACTGATTGCCAATATATGGGGGGACCTTCTCCACTGACCGCCAATATATGGGGGGACCTTCTCCACTGACCGCCAATATATGGGGGGACCTTCTCCACTGACTGCCAATATATGGGGGGACCTTCTCCACTGACCGCCAGTGTTAGGGGGTCACTAAGTGTTGTCAGCCCTGCCTGCTAAACTGTAGAACTCTGCCTATCTCCGCAAATCTCTGTTCTTCTCCATATGTGTTGATTTCTTCCCCAGCAAAACAGTGCTGTTGCCATGACTCCCATGATCCTATCCCCACACTGTGTAGGTAAAGCGTTCTGAGAGCATGTCTTCTCAAAAGGAACTGAGCTCCCAGGGACTTGCCCCTACATGATTATGTCACAGGGATTATTAAAAACTTCTCTCTACAGGGATAAGGTTAAAAAAAAATGCTGGGACTGGATCTAGAGAAGAGGGTGAGATTTGGGGAGTAAATTTGGGTAATGTCTGGACAAACCCTTTAAGGTAACCTCCATTCATTAGATGGCAGCCAACCATGAACGTACCCTCTGGCCAGATGACAAATGTTAGACAAACGTAAGAGGGGGAGCGCTACAGGTGGCCTTGTCCAGGTCACGGCATAGCTAATAGTAACTTGTCACATTCAACTGGACATGTTTTGTAATATTAAAGCTTCTCCAAGCCACGTTTTCAGTTCCAATGAGTGTCGGGGACATACCCCAGCGTTTATATCCACACAGGTAGCACTGACGCCTCAGTTCAATCACCATGGAATGGGTCAGGGTAGGTGCTGATTGTCCAGGAACAGGTTAGGAGATGTGAAAGTTGTGGACCCCCCACCACTCCAATCCTTGGAATGAAAGGGTTTCTAAACCCTCCGTTTTTTTTGCATATATATAAGGCTGGCGAGCTGTAGATATATGCAAAAAGTTTTAAAAAAAATAAAAAATTATAAAATAAACTTACCTTGCATTCGCCGCGCACTCCCGCCCGAGAATCCGAAACTGCTCGGGCGGCCGCAAAGGATCTTGGGGCGGGCGCAGTTCGGATTTTCGGCCGGGAGACGAGGAGAGACGCAAGGTAAGTCTATGGACGCGTGCACCCGCATGCAGACACCGTGGCACAGGAAGTGCCAGCAAGCACCGAGGAGTCAGCACTGGATCGGAGACGCGCCGCAGTGCTGGAGAGAAGGCTGAATAGGACAGGAAAGAAGAGGAAGATCTGATTAAGAGACATCATTTAACCTCCCTGGCGGTATTCCCGAGTGTAGCTCGGGGTTACTTTTCCATACCATAAGCGGTAACCCCGAGCTACACTCGGTAAAGCCGCATTGCATTTACTTCCCTTGTCCCTCGAGCCGCGCTGTGTTCTGCTGCCGATGCGAGCGTACGTGTCGCAGGGGGGTGGAACTGGCGGGATATTAAAAAAAAAAAAAAAATAGACCGAAAAATGACATGTAAATTAAAAATCATACCGCCAGGGAGGTTAAGGTAAGTGCTGACATTAACATTGGAGGGGAAACATTTTTTTGACTTTAATGTCACTTAGAAGTCTGCACAAGTGTTCTATGATTCTAATGTTCAGTCACAGTGAGGATGAGAGAAGGTGGTCTTGTAAGAAAGTCATTTAATTAATAATCTCTCTCTCTCTCTCTCTCTCTCTCTCTCTCTCTCTGCTGTTTGCAGTTCTCTTTCATTCCTGGTTAAATTGGAACATTTGGATCTTGGAAGCAATGACCTACAAGTTCTGGTAAGGAGAGAGCCGATCTCTAGAGGCTTGGTTTGGTCTTGTAGCTGAATGTATTGCCGGTATGATTCCTGACCTATTAATCTCTCCCGTTGTCTCCTCCACAGCCTGACACACTCGGTGCCCTTCCCAACCTCCGAGAACTCTGGCTGGACAAGCCACGGATAAAGAATTACTCCCGGACCCCTTTGTTTTGTCTCCCTGCCAAACCTCCGCAATCCAGCTTGGCGAATTCTGATTCAAAGAATGAAAGCTGATCGGTTTCCTCATCCCGAAGAAATTCCGACCGCCGTCTGGTGGCTCGTTTTAACAGAAAGGGCATCTTTTGCAGCCCCGGGGGAGGTTTATCGCTGCTCTGCAGAATCATTTGGACTTTATCCAAACAGTTTGGAATTTTACATAAAAGGGATTTCCTATAGAGAGGGGTTTTCATTAACCCGCTTGGTTTTGGCGTCCTGCGATGGTTGTCCTCAGCGCATGGCTGTCAGTGCCAAAATAAAAATCAACCCCCAACACTTAACCCCTTCCCGTCCGCTGTCTGTTTATATTTTTCCTTCCCAGTTCCTGCTTCCTCCCTTTTTAAAAATAAAATCTATTTAAGACTGGAGTCCAAGGACCTGTAGCACTCCTTACCGGAATTCCCAAGTGTTAATTGAGGGTGCTCGCAGTGACCGCGGATGGCGCCGTATTCAACATAGGTAACACTGACATCTGAGTCATGCTGGTGACGTTCCTATACTTACCTGGGCGCGTAAGACGACACCCTAATTTTTCTGTTAGAACATAGGTTTTGGGCTATACTCGTCGTATAAGACGAGTATAGCCCAAAATAATGTTTACATACACCCACTAACCACCTCGGCGGTATTACCGAGTGTGGCTTGGGGTTCATTTTCAGTGCCCCAAGCGCTAACCCCGAGCCACACTGGGGATTACAGCGTAGCGTCTCTTACCTTGTCCACGATCCCTGCTGTGTCCTCCGGCCGATGCCGGCATTCGTCTTCCGGGTTCCGTCCCTTGCGAGCGTCCGAGTCGCAGGGGGTAGCGGAACCGGCGGGGATTTTAAAAGTTAAAAAAATAAAAAATAGAACTTAAAAGGAAAAAAAGCTACCGTACATAACCATATTACCGCACATCCAGCGGGCTGACGTATACCCGGCGTATAAGACGACCCCCGATTTTCGGGGATGGTTTTTAAGTATAAAAAGTTGTCTTATACGCCGGCAAATACGGTACCTTATTTTATACCTGGTGATAGCATTACGGGGGCGCTGTGCTTTTTTTTTGCAATGCAGGCAGATCACGGCTGGTGTGAGAGCTGGCTGGGTGCTGTACATAGCTTCCTGAAAACATCACAGCACCCTGCCTCTGTGCTTCTCTCCAGAGCCCCCCAGCGCTGATGCAAGCAGCGGGCTGGCTCTTGGCAGGAGTAATGCAAATGCCTTGATGAGATGGGTGTCAGCCTGAAGGAATGGTTGTTTCTAGGCATGCGTCTATTTACATGCCGACCACCCTAGGTAACGTCCCACATGTAATGCTCACCCTCCATAAATGAAAGAACTGAAATCCTATAAATAAAAGGGGCGGGGCCAGGGACCGTCAGGTTGGGGAGGACAGAGCTAAATAATGCTGGATGTCCTCCAGCCAGGAAATGAGGCGGAGCTTTATCTGACTGGATGCAGCTTCTAATGCACATTGTGAGAAGCAATTTCAGTCCAGGATAGGAACCTGTAACTGTAGAATAGTGAAGGGAAGGCCAGAGTTCAGTATTAAGTTTTGTCTGTTATTCAGCACTGAGGACTGTGCCAGCAGTTGTGATCATCTCTCCCTCTGTATTGCAGGAATTGGGCAATCTCCGGCGATTGGTGTGTCTGGATCTCTCAGAGAACAAGCTGGAGGAACTTCCTGCAGAGATCAGCGGCCTGGTGTCTCTCACGGACCTGCTGCTATCTCAGAACCTGCTGATGAGCTTACCTGCCGGCATAGGTGAGTAGAGTTTCTGGTAATCGGAGCACGTGCGCAGGGCCCCCCGTGATCCGTGGGGGTGTGGGTATCCGCTATAAGAATATTTGTACATAGGCCCTGATCGAAGCCGAGTTAGTGGCTCTGTAACTGGCGCGGTCAAACAGAGGCCGATAGCATGCTTTTCTCCTGACGGTCGCTGCCCCTGCTGTGTTGTGCGGGGGATCGGCAACATTGAGGGGAAATACACTCGGTCACGTTCTTATGCAATTTTTGTGTGAAGTCATGTGTACGAGTCATCGCAAACCAACGATTCGTCAATTAAAATATTGACTGATGTAACATTATTAGAAGCAATGCCCAGTCGGAATCGACCCATAGGTAAAAACTAGGGCTGTGGAAATTACAGATTAATTTCTCGATTAATCGTTAAACTTTTTGAATAAAATTATTTTGATCGCTAATAAACTCTCACTTCTCCGCCGGCTTCCGGGATTTCCATCGACGTCACCGGACTCCTCCCAACTACATTGGCCTATACACATACAGCACAGCAATGAAGTAATAAAATGAACTAGGATCACACTAATCCAGCACGTTATTAATCTCACGTGCCCTACTCAATATGGCCGCCGCTTGAGTAGGGCAACTCAGAATAATAACGTGCTGGATGAGTGTGATCCGAGTTCATTTTATTACTTCATTGCTGTGCTGTATGTGTATAGGCCAATGCCTTGGCTGGTGCTCGTGCGGAACAAGTTTCTTGGGCAAACCTCTTAGTTGTAACGAAACCGGAAGTCAGGTGGTCGCAGAACTCGATAAGTTCTCAGTGTCGACAGATCACCGGCCCAAGTGGCTCCCTCGGCTAACAAAGGGAAGGGGGAGGAGTCCGGTGATGTCACGGACATCAACGTTACCGGACTCCTCCCCCCTTCCCTTCGTTAGCCGACGGAGCCACTTGGGTTAGAGGGGAGGAGTCCAGTGACGTCTATGTCCGTGACGTCACCGGATCTGCGACGGGACTCCCGGAAGCAGGCGGAGAGGTGAGTATTTTCATTAGCGATCAAAAAAATGTAAATCGATCAAAAAGATGAACGATCGAGAAATTCATCGTTAATTTCCGCAGCCCTAGACATTATATGTAAGTTTGGATGCTATTCTTTGCTGATTTAATGTATTCTTATAGATATGTAACAGCCATTTGTTGTGTTGGAAGAACCAATTAACAAACTTAGATGGGCATCGTGGGGGGGGGGGACATTTTTAGTATATAACAAGAAGAGTTGCCCCTCCATAATCAATAGCCCTGAGCTGTGTTCACAGATAATTATGTCCTAGTCAGAGAGTGTGTTCTCACTGGTTAGTTTCCCGCCTGCTGGGTACAGGCCATAGGTCCGTCCCCATGTCAGACATTGGATTATCACTGGTTAACTTCCAGACTGCTGGGTACAGGCCATAGGTCCGTCCCCATGTCAGACATTGGATGATCACTGGTTAACTTCCAGACCGCTGGGTGCAGGTGATGGGTCCGTACCCATGTCAGACATTGGATGATCACTGGTTAACTTCCAGACCGCTGGGTGCAGGTGATGGGTCCGTACCCATGTCAGACATTGGATGATCACTGGTTAACTTCCAGACCGCTGGGTACAGGCCATAGGTCCGTCCCCATGTCAGACATTGGATGATCACTGGCTAGCCTGCAGGCCACTGGGTGCAGGTGATAGGTCATTCCCTTCTGCCATCCCCACGCTAATATGTTTGCGTTTCTTGATTTTTCAGGACAGCTGAAACAATTGTCCATTCTGAAGGTGGATCAGAACCGCCTGACCCAGCTGACCGAGTCCATTGGAGACTGTGAAAATCTGAGTGAGATTATTCTGACGGAGAACCTGCTGACGGTAATCTGGTGCCACTATGTCTGCACTATGACCTAAAGGATGATTAAATCAGTAGGCTGTAAAGGGAAGCCTGTCAGGAGAGAGCCGTGTCGGTGGCTTTTCTGACCTCCTGAAAATACTAGTTACCTGGCTCTCTCTGGCCTCTGTGCTTTCTGTGCACTAACCTAGGTTAAGCATTGAGCAAGTCAGAACTTCTGATCTGCCTACTTGTTCTGTGTTGAACTGCTCTTAAGGCTGTTGGATCACCTTGTCAGCCAGTCAGCCGGCGTTTTCAGGAGAGGCATTGGACACCTACTTTATATTTTGTCCAGATGGGTTTATGTTAAAGCCTCAAGGCAAAGATTAAAAGTAACGTATTTCGGGAATATATGCACATTTGCTCACGTTTTATCCCTTTAGAACTCTTCCCCATGGCCTCCTGTGGCTTTATAAAGTAAATTCCGGCGTATTTTCCCATGCAGGGAGCTATAGATGCTGTGTACAGCCTCCCGTAGAAGTATATGGCTGTGCGCAGGTATACTCTGGACCTGTGTTAACATGTACAGGTGCTCAACCCTGTCTGCATCCGTGGTTGTGCATCCCTGTGCATAGGCCTACTTCTGCAAGTCCAAAGTATACCAGTTTACAGCCATCCACTTCTATGGGAAGCAGCACCTGAGGCTCACTGGCAGTGGAAAAAGGCCAGCGTCAACCTTGCCATTTGCAAATCATTTAAAATGCTGCAAGTACAGAAAAATAACTGTTGATGTGCCAGAAATATAGTGTTCTCCGACACCACTCTGAATTCCTTAGCACGTGGTGTCAGCCCTGCCTACTTCATCTCTAATAGGGATGCACTGATACTGATAATAGTACTCGGCCAAATGCTCCGATACCTACCCCCGATACCGGAACTTCCGGTCAGAGGGAGATTTCCTCTGACCAGCTGTGCTGGGCGGGAACATGGACCCATGCCTCCCAGCCAATCAGGAAACTGGGCTGCGGTTTGGCTTTCTGATTGGCCAGGAAGCCCGCTCCATGCTGTTTTGGCTGGGAAGCCGGCTTCCTGGCCAAACAGCCGGCTAGGTACTGATTGGCTGGAAAGCATGTAGCCAACCTCCCTGCCAATCGGGAAGCTGGGCAGCGGGTAATGACCCGGCTTCCTGATTGGCCGGGAAGCCGGCTCCATGCTACTGGAAGTACCGGTATCAGTACTTGGTATTGGAACTCGATACCGAAAAAACGCTATCTGTGCATCCCTAATCTCTAACTAATTGCAAGGAACACAGACCTCTACCCATCTCCATAACCCCTCCTTGTGCATTTGTTGTGAGCACAGGATGCTATCGGCTCACAAGGTTTCTGGCAAGATCAACAGATATTTTTGAACCTGAAGATAGGAGAATTGCATTGGTAGAGTTTACAGTTAAGGCTTGTATGGGGTATTGTGGTGATGGGGGGGGTTCTCCAGACTAGGGACAACATTTAGTAATACTTGTTCTGAGCCCTTTCCTTGGGTTGCCCTTTTTGTTAATGCAAAATCCAGTTGATGCAGATCAGGAGGAGGTTAGCTGCAGGCCAAACGCATCTGTGTATTGTTATTATTATTATTATTATTATTATTCAGGATTTATATGGCTCCAACAATTTGCGCAGCGCTTTACAATATAAGGAAGACATTGCAATCACAATACAAATCAAGACAAGATGGCAAGGAGGGCCCTGCCCCTGAGGGCTTACAATCTAAAAATGAATCCTGAATGATCACAGAAGCATCTCAAACTGATTCTATTGGACAGGCCCTAACTAGTTTTCTGGCGCATTCATCTAAAGTTTTGCTGTTCCACTTAAAGCTCCATTGACCTGTTGTAGCATCAGGCAGTATTGGGGACCAGAACTGATCCCCCGCCCCCTTGCTTTCAGTGTTAGCTGATTCCTCGTAGGAGCTGGGTGGGGGTGGCATTGACATATGAAAGGTTTTCTCTTCTGCCCAATGATCTCCCTTTCATTTGCTTCTTTATGTTATCCTACTAGGCGTCTCTATTTTGTGGTCATTTTCTGCTTCCCCGTTTTCCATCTCTTGCTCCAATTTTGGAATTTACTGTGAATGTTTTTGGTTTTTTTTTTCCCCTCCACAGTATCTACCGAAATCCACAGGGAATCTCACCAAGCTGACCAATATGAATGTGGATCGCAACCGGCTGACCTCTCTGCCCAGTGAGATCGGGGGCTGTTCCAGTCTAAACATGCTGTGCCTGCGTGATAACCAGCTGACCTCCCTCCCGCCAGAGCTGGCCAACGCCACCGAACTGCACGTGTTGGACGTGGCGGGGAACAGGTACCAGTATTGTGTATTTGGATGCATTATATCTATGGTGGGGGTTGTGAGACATTCTCGTTACTGGTCACTTGGGGAGGCCTTCTGAGCTGCAGATTTTTCAGCGTATGCTTTAGGCCCCTTTCACATGGGCTGATCAGGCGGGGATCTGTGCACGGATCGGAGCCGTACGGGTCACAGTGGTGGCATCTGTGCTCATCCAGTTTTTTCTCCATGTGATGGAGGAAAGAACTAAACCTGCTGGACCACATGTCGGTCTATGGGGGAATTTGATGTGTCAGTTTACATCCGATTACCCTGATCCAGCACAATTTGTTCCGGCTCTCTGATCCGTTTGTTTTTCCCGACCTGACCTAAGTTGGCTGAAACAGACGCCCATCTGTTCACACCCAGCTGCCTATAGATTAGCATTGGGCATCCGATCAGGTCTGCTTAAAAACTGACAGGTTCACCTGATCATTCTGCCTATGTGAAAGGGGCCTTAGTCCCTCAGCTGGACTATGGGCCTGTGTCATTGCTGATAAATAGGGTGTCTGTCTGTCCAGTTCTTAGTAATAACACTTTGATACATAAGGTCTAATATGTCCATCCTCCAAAAAATGTATTCTCTAGTCCTTGGGAGGAAAGAGGTCATTTGAAACCCCCCCCCCATATATTACTGGCTGCCTATTAGTTTTATGTTTGTGTACCCGGAACCAGTATGATCTTAGGGGACTGATTCTATTCCTGTGTTCTTATCTGAATCTGTCTCTGACTTTACACTGCCCTTCTATCTTCTTTCCAGATTGCAAAACCTGCCCTTTGCGCTGACCAACCTCAATCTGAAAGCTCTCTGGTTGGCAGAGAACCAGTCCCAGCCAATGCTAAAATTTCAGACCGAAGATGATGAGATAACTGGATCCAAAGTGCTCACCTGCTACCTCCTGCCGCAGCAGCCGTCTCCGAGCATCGGTACTGCAAAGAGCTCTTCCTGCTTTTCATGGCTGCTGACATTTTATAGTCTTGGTCCATCTAGGACAGGGGTCGGCCAACTCCGGCCCTCGGGCTGTGGTGAAGCTAAAAATCCCATTTATGCATCTGCCTCTGGGAATCATGCCCATGGCTGTCAGTCTTGCAATGCCTAATGGGATTTGTAGTTGTACCACAGCTGGAGGGCTAGAGTTTGCCTACCTCTGATCTCAGAGATGATTGCACTGATGTCGTGTTTCTCATTTAAAGAGACCCTGTCCTCTTACAAAAAATATAACAGATGCAACCTCCCCATAAGATTATAGGCCAGATTACCTTGTTTGATACATTTAATCTCTGTGTAATTATTATTAATATGATATTGAACAGACCTGATATTGATGAAGTGGTCAGAGTCCTACTAAAGTTAGACCGGTAACAATATGGGAAAAAGTTTAGTTTATTGGGGAAACCTGCATCGTGTGTGTTGTCCTCTACTGCTTCAAGGTTCTCATTTTAAGAAAAGAGGTCTAGCGACAGGTTCTCTTTTAAGAGAATTGTAATTTTCTTTCTTAGCGCTTGCCTATTATGTTGGGATGGGCTTTTATTTGAACACCAGGCAAGGTTTGAGATGCAGAAGTGAGTTAGTTTTAATGCACTGACGCACTGCATGTCATTAGCGTTGTGGTTGGGAACTGGCCATTTATATTTCTTTTTCTCTCGTTGGCTTTGTGGGCCCTTCTATTATGTATTGTGGATATGGACCCAGCTCTACTTAGGGTTTTTTGCCTTTATTGCGGTAGTGCGCCAAGGCTTCCTTTATTGTGCTAGTGGGCTCTGCTCGCAGGGGGCCAAGCTCTCCATCGGGGTAGCGGGGCCAAGCTCTCCATCGGGTTAGAGTGGCCAAGGCTTCCTTTTTTGGATTACCCTTTGATTACCTTTAATCACCCTTTGTTTAGTTAGGAATACATTACCTTGTGGGTGGAATGGACAGTCAGGATTTGCTGGTCTAGTGGTTTTGCTACAATAATTTTACTTTTATTTATGTATCTTGTGCTTTTTTTTTTTTTTGTAGTAAATAAATTATATATTTATAAACATGTAATGACTAGGTGTATTTTGTGGCTTTATGACTCAAGACTGTTTGACACAAGCCTTTTTCAGCATCTGTTGATGTCTACAAAGTGCATAGACAGTGTAGCAGCCCATGTCACTTATCATAAAAGGGCAGAGGTAGGCAGAGCGTGATGACAAAGCAACGTTCAGGAAGAATTCTTTCCGACTGTCCATTTCAAATGACAGTGATCAATACCTGATGACCAAAACAGCTTCACTAAAAATATGTACATTATAACCGGGGCACCCTCGAAGTGTATCCAGCAGCTCTTTGTGTGCCAAAGTGTGCAGACATCAGCATCTGTGTGATCATAGATCTGCATTTATTTTCTTTATTTCCCCTTCCCCCAGTGTATACCTGATGCTATTGGGCTTTAAACAGGTGAAAACCTTCACGACCTATTAAATGTGATTTCAGAGAGCCCCCTTCAAAACAGCATGGATGACAGCTGGATAGATGGAAACCTCAACCGCGTCAGCGTCATTCAGTTTCAGGAGGAGCTCGGAGCGGAGGAAGAAGATGACGAGGCTGCAGCAGAGAGGAGGGTAAGAATTTTTGCTTTTATTACTAAAGGATTCTGTTTTGTGTCTGATTGCAGGTCTTCATAATGATGTGATCCACATGTACTGGTTATTGAGGACCTGTCATTACAACACACACACACAGATCAATAAGGGCTCAAGTCAGTATGATCAAATCGCAATAATATTATATAAGTGACAATATCTCTTTCATGAGTAGAAAGCTACAGATTTTGCAGTCCCTCATAAGCTAAATCCTAGGTGAACCTAGATCACATAGTCCCGGGTGCAATGAATATTGTGAGTGATTCATGTTGTTGGAGTCGCTTGTTCTCAGTGAGACAGGTCCTGCCTGAGGCACTTGCAGTGTACCAGAGTCTGTGTGTCTAAAGATCAGATATGGCCGTTCCCATTACATATATATAAACTAGGGATGCACCGATACTAGTATCAATATCGGTGCCGATACCGAGTATTTGGGCGAGTACTCGTACTCGCCCAAATGCTCCGATGCCTAGCACGAGTACTTCCTGTATCAGGAAGCCGGGCAGCCCATCATTACACACTGCCCGGCTTCCTGATTGGTCGGAAGCCGTGGCGAGAGAGCATGGAGCCGGCCTCCCGGCCAATCAGCCCGGCTTCCCGATTGGCCGGCCAGACTGCTCCGGCTGGGTACGGGAGGAAGGCCGCGTTCTGACTAGAGAGGCCCCGGGGGTGACAGGCTGGACATACCAAGGTAAGATGGGACAGACTTTCTTGTTAATCTGGAAGCCAGGTGGCAAGTCATTACAAGCCACCTGGCTTCCTGAATGGGACTTCCGTTACTGGGAAATTGGTATCGGCGAGTACCGGAAAAAATTATCGGTACTCGGTACCAAAATACCGGTATCGGTGCATCCCTAGTATAAACGGTACACAAACCGTGTTTTTAACTACAACATAACATGTGCAATAAGCTGATACTTTCCATCTACAGTATATCTGAATAAAATGTCTGCAGTTGTGTTTATTCCAGTGCGGTACGTGCTGCTGATTGGCTGCTCACACTGACAATATTGGTCATGTGATGATATTTTTCAGGGTCTGCATAGAAGGGCCACACCTCACCCCAGTGAACTAAAGGTGATGAAGAAGGGGATTGAGGATCGCAGGAACGAGCATTTCACCCCCAAACCGCATGCAGTGTCCCCCAGTGATGAGGTAAGTCCATGAACTTTTGTCCAGCAGAATTGCAGCAAATATTTTATAATTAAACTTTTCTATGAGATTCTCAATAAGAGATACAAGTAGGAGAGTTTCAATCTTAGGTCTGGGTTAAGCAAATATTGTCTAAATACAAGAGTCATGTGTTGTCGTCTTGAGTCTTGGTGAGCTTTGTGTATTTCTTCCAGATCTGTGCAGTAAACCAGTGTGAGACTTGGAACTTCCTGTAATAAAGACCGGTCACTGCTGCTCTCTCTCCTTGTGCAAGGTGACTGGTCTTGTCTCCACACCCTCCTATAATAAAGACCACTCACTGCCGCTCTGTCCTTGTGCAGGGTGACTGGTCTTGTCTCCGCCCCCTCCTGTATTAAAGACTGCTCACCGCTGCTCTCTCTCTCCTTGTGCGGGGTGACCGGTCTTGTCTCCGCCTCCTCCTGTAATAAAGACCACTCACTGTTGTTCTCTCTCCTTGTGCAGGGTGACTGGTCTTGTCTCCGCCCCCTCCTGTAATAAAGACCACTCACTACTGCTCTCTCTCCTTGCGCAGGGTGACTGGTCTTGTCTCCAAATATATGATAAATGTCACCAGCACACCTATGTCTTGTGTCAATAATCCATCTTCTTTATTGATGCAGACTGTCAAAAAACAATGTTTTGGGGCCACGCGTGGTCCCCTTCATTAGGTTTTAGTATGACGAATGGTCTTGTCTCCAGTCACCCGGCACAAGGAGAGAGTAGCAGTGACCGGTCTTTATTACACACTGAGTTACTGCACAGAACTGGAAGAAATACACAAAGCTCACCAAGATTCAAGAAGAATACACATGGCTCTTGTATTTAGACAATATTTGCTTGTCTCTATCTCCGTTCTATATTCTGTTATTACTTCCTCTTATATCTCTCTTCAGTGCTTATTATAGAATCTCTTTCAAATGTGCTCCTTACCTAAAGTCTCTTCTTGCTTAGTCCAGTTTGGTGTATTGAACTTGCCACCATCAATAAATAAGTACAAGTGCTCCTGACCCTGCACCCAGAATCATTTTAGTTTTTGCTTTTAGCCTTTTCGTCAACAATGTAATAAAAATAAACTAAAAACTAATCCCAAAAAATCACCTCACGCCAGAAATATCTACCAATTATGAGCTGCAAGGCACTGAAACCTTATTAAGGAGAATACATATAAACATGCAATATCACAATGTGCCGAGTTAGAACCAAACTAAAACAATTCACTTAACATACATCAAGTGCAAAACAACGTGTCAATTATTGTCCAAGTATCCATGGTACAGTGAAACATAATATTCACATCACACCAAATCATGAGGAGTTAAAGGAGAACTATGGGGTCAGGGCTTTTCCCCATAGTTCTCAGGTTAACGGGAGGACACAAACTAGCGTCCTCCCATGACCCGAAGCTCAGTATACTGAGACGTCACAGCCGGGATGGATCCCGACAATACTGCCTGGATCCATCCAGCTGCGTGATTGACACCTGGCTCTGTGTGTCCAGAGGCAGAGCCAGCTGTGCCAGTCAATGCAGGAGGATTGGACAGGGGAGGGGGGGAATCCCTGCAGGGATAGATCGAGAAGTGAGCGAGCGACAGTATGTGTTCGCTCACTTCCCGATCTACTGAGGCGACCTGTGATGGTTTCATTGTCGCAGGTCGGCTCAGATTATGAGGCTGAGTGAAAATCACTCGCCTCATAATTCTCCTTTTTAATAAACTTTGTGTATTCAATCAGATTTTCTAAGTGTTCAGAAATAGTGTCCACACCAAAATCGTAAACAGCGCACAAACACCAGTACACTAAGGACCCTGTTACACTATCAGGAGGGTGTTCCAGTGCGTTCGGGCCGG